ATTTTATATTCTGTTCTGAGAGCAACTGGAAGTGGAGTTAGTACAAGTGGAAGTGTTACTATGAATCTGGTATATTCTTATCTCAATGCTTGCATTGCTTTTATTCTGAAAGTGTAAGTAAGATACAACGTATATATTGTGAATGATCTAGTTATACCCATTGTTAACATTAAAAGTAGTATACGAATAAATTAATCATATTTGTTGAGAGTAAGATAAATTCATTCTGTTTGAAAAGTACTTTTTGTACAGAGAAAGTGAGCAGTTATGAATATGAAATCTAACACACTAAATGTGTAGGAATGCAAATTAGGAAATTTCACTTTGACTAACTCTGTGCAATGGCTGTTATTATATAACATCGTTTTCATATAGACTGCAAATGCTGAGCATTTAATGTTAAGCATGTAAATAGTAGAACTATTTCTATATATAATTATGTTTATATTTGATCGAACTTCGCAGTGAAAATTTTCGCAAGAAATCCAAGATGCTTTGATTAGTATTTTGCACAGTAAACTGCTTAGTAAAACATTTTCAACCATCTTGCTTAAAGCACGGCAAAGGTCATGTGAAATGACAGAAATATTACTGGACACCCAAAAGTCCATTCTCGAAGCTACTCCCTCGGTGGCGATACAGATATGCACTTATGAAATATGGTTTCGGTAAAGCTTTCAGCTTCTTTTCGTAAGTTATGGATGATATGTTCTTTCTGTTTATATGAAATCTGTTTAATCGAACCTTAATAACAGAATTCAGGAGTTTCATCCAATCAGTCACTGGTTGAATAAAAAAGTCGTCAGGACAGTTCAAAAACTACGTTTTTTCTAAATGTCTCAACGGACGGTTTAATCATTAGTAAAAAATGACCATGGATGAAAAACAAATGGTGGAAAATGACTATATGAAGATGACCACAGGAGTGAGTTCCTCAATTCTAGTGTAAGGATTAGCTACATGTGACCGGCTTCCTCTCCTCCTCCCTTCTTATAATATTGATCTATCTCCTGTGGTACGCTCTGGGTAACGTTCTTGATGACGAGATTACTCAATGTCCATTGATTTCGGCCACGTTTTGAACGAATATTTACGAGCAACTATCCGACCATTTGGAGCAGAAAATTACTTCTCCTAAATAACGTTAAATAAGAACCAAAATGAATGTACAAAAAGCGAATTATTACATATCATGTTCTTCGTACTTAAACCATAAGTCCAATTCAACAGCAATACCGCAAAAGAATTTTTAAATGAACATATCTTTAGAATCAAAATCGTAAAAACAACCTTGTATTTAGCGTAGGTATAATGACCTACGTTAAATACAAGTCTAATTTGAGTCACTCAAATCTAATTTGAAATTTGAGTGTTTCATTATACCTACGCTAAATACAAGGTTGATTTTACGATTTTGATTGTCACATTAGCGTGTTTCTCTTCATATCTTTAGAATTTCCGATACACAGTCTCGCGCGCTGGATATTAAATTTTTTTTTTTTTTTTTTTCGTACAGTGTGTTACGATTCTCCGCTTTGAAACCGTTGAGTTCGTTAATTAAAAATTCTTTATTGTGAGACAAAATATGAAATAGATAATACAACAAATTCCAAATTAGGACTTCCAGATGCCCATATTCGGTGAAAGATTACGTAATTCAAAATTTGATGGGTCTAGGTACCGTTGTTTTATTACAATGCAAGAAGCATACATACATCTTCATTATTTAATATCTTTAAATATAATACAGGGCTCTAATATTTGGCGGCAAAAGTTTGAAAAGTGAATCCACGCAAAATGCCAAAACGAAATTAACAGCCCTTCTCGGCTAAAAAAATAGTAGATTTAGAGTTACAGAGTTAAGAAAACCTGAATCGGGAGTTAGGAAACTTACATATTAGGATACAAAGAAAAAGCTACTAAAAATTCTGCAAACTAAAAAACCCTAATATTAGTTCTTGGAACAAGCATAAGTGCTTTGACAATATTTCATAATTCGATTCTTTTAAAATTGAAGGTTAAATCAGAGATACATTTTCTCATTAATGAATTTTAGTGACATTCAAGTTTTCCCCTTCACTCGTAAAAGCCATATGAAGAGAAAATGTTACAAATAAATTATATGTTCCTTCATAAATAAATTTTTTATTGTTATAAATAAGTTAAGTCTGCCTAATTTTACGCGTTTTATTTGAAATCAAAAATTAAAGAAAAAATATTTTTTACGCTTTAATACAATACTAAATATCTAGAAAAAGAGTTATAATAAATAAGAAGTAATTCAATAATACGTATAATGGGCAAAATACGTATGCACAAATACGTATCTTTGTAAATTTTTATTAACTGGCTAAACAAGAAATATTCTAACTCTAATAATACAACAAGGGCAAGCACCTGATTTTAATACACTACGTGTTTTAATATTCAGCCTTCACGGGGAAAATTGTAGCTTTCCCTGTCTTTTTTTGTGTTTGAAACGTGGTTCAGTCGGTGAATTGGATAACAGGGAAAAAGTATTATGATTTCATTAATATATATAGTCTAGAAGTTAATAATCCAAACCTATAATATTATTCATTGAACAGCAACCATTCCTGAAGAAGGCGTGGTTATTAACGATTTATTATTGGTCAGAATATGAAAGTGGTGTTCCTTATAGCAAACAAGAATAATCGATATTGTGAGCTTTAGCCAATAAAGAGGTGATGTAAGTAAATTGAGAGAAACAGCACGTCTTTTTTTGACAAGACATTTCGGTCATAACCGAAGAATGCTTTTTGTCCAAAAAATATTAAAATTTTATTTTCTCTTCAGTATTTATTTCATTCTTGCGTTGTATTTTTTATATTATTGTGTTGCTTTATTTTGTATTACTAATTCGCATATAGTTTACATGATTGAACGTTTAATGTTGCTTAATTTTTTACTTTTGTTATATTTTTCATTAATTCTTAGACAAAAGGGTCGATTTGCCAAGAAGAGCTATTAATTTCTTTTTGGTATTTTGCGTTGGTTCACTATTAACGGCGTTTCACTTTTCAAATTGTTGCCACCAATTATTAGAGCCTTGCATTATACTTAAAGAAATTAAATAATGAAGAATCCACGTGAATTTATGTATGTTTCTCTCACTGTGAAGAAACAACGGTACCTAGAGACATCGAATTCTGAATAACGTAGCTCTCCACTCAAATATGGGCATCTGGAAGCCCAAATTTGGAATTTGTTTTATTATCTATTTCACATTTTCTAAAACTTTAACCGATTTTTGATTAACAAACTCCACCATTTCAAAGCGAGCAATGGCAACACTGTACGAAAAAAAAAAGTTTTTATCTCCAACGCAGGAGTCTGTGTATCGGAAACTCTAAAGTTATGCTCTTTTTAAATTATTTCGCGATATTGCTGTTCAATTGAATTTTATGGTTAAAGTGTGAAGAACATGATATTTAATAAATAAAGGTAACACACAAAACGATAAAAAAACGCCCCTTTGGGCGTGATATAATGTCTGAAAGCTTTCAGAGTTTTTTTTTTAATTTTTATTAATTTATTTTCTAATTTTTTTTAGTCTGATCGGAATATAGTAGGATATTTTTTTTTTTCGTTTTAAAATGCCATTCTGGAAACCTCACTGGGCAGCGTAACATAAAAAAGTATGTTTAGTTAAATTATCATCTAATCTGTAATTTTTAAATTAAAAGAAAATGTATTTACTTAGCTATACTTTAATAACTGATATAAAGTTCAGGCTATGGTACTAGTGAGGATTCTGGCAAGAAAGCTTCAGTACATGGAAATCTTGGGCATAAAATTATATTCTTCAAATGCATTTTTTTCCCCAGGGTAAAATCATCTTATATTCGAACCAATACTTTTTTGTTTTCGGATATTACTTTTTCAGTGAACACAAATGCGCGTAAAAATGAAGTCATTGCTATAAGATGATTCAAAATTTAAACTCGAGGAGAGAAAAAAACTACTTTGGCTTTTAATTATTCTTAATCATAAAAAATACGAAAACTGAAGTCTCCTCGAGATGTTGGAATTTATGAATAAAAACAGACTTATTAAATTCTGAATAATAATATAAATTCCAGAGACAGAAAGAAAGTTGCAGTAAATTCATACATATGTGCATAGCCTCCTTGTAACAATAAAGTGAATATATTTAAGTGAAAAATTAAGTTTTCGAATTAAAAAAAAAGGAAAAAAGAAAAAGAAAAAATATAAGCAAGTTGAGTGTCAAAAGTGATAATTTCAAAAAATACATTTTCCTTATATCTGTGACGATAGTTTAACTGCCAGTTTCAAAGAGAAAAATATATTCCTACCATTTATACCAGACATTGTCAAAAGTGGTTTAATTAAATCAAGTTCAGAAAGTTTAGAGGTAGATAACTTCGCTGTGAGGAATATTTCAAGAAATCATATGATTAATGCTCAGTTTTATGCGTTATAGTTGTGCTTTACTCTATCATAATATACCCATACAACGAAAGTAAAGCAGACAGAGGTGGAAGATGCACCCCCATATTGACAAATAAATAATATTCAGTATTCTTTTTAGTGTGAAAATTTAAATTTGTAATAAGCATGTAAAAAGCGAAGCTCCAGATGGTGTCTCAACTTAAGTCTTTATGTTTTCTCTTTTCTGACGGATTTCAGCCATTTGGTTAGCGAAATTAGAAAACGATCTCTGATTACTTCTTTAAGAATGAAATTTATGCTTCTAAATCAACTAAAATTAATTAAATTTCTGAAAAAAATTATAAATATGTCACATTCTCTAATTACTATGTTTTTACAACAATCAGAGGTATTGAATGAAAAAAAAATCTAGTAATGATATTGTTTTTCTTGTATTGAAAACAATTCGTATATTTCTTTTAATTGACAATAAAACTAACTTTCTATAATTAGAAACACTTTTTATTATTTTCAATATATTTCCATAAGTTAATTGATGCACATTTAAGCATTTATGTTAATTTTAGGAGCAATTGAAGCAATACGAGATGCTGCTGAAGACACAATTGATCATGCTGGAAAAGCACATGCTTTACCTGCACTGCATCATACAGCAGTTCTTCCACAGAGTCAGGAGAAAATTCAGGAAAAAGTTCTTCTAGAACCAGAGCCTAGTGGTGTTAAAACATCTGATCCTCTGAAGGTGACAACAACCATACTTCAGGCTGGTGAAATAAAATCCATAGCGTCTCCGTCAGCTGAAATAAAACAAAGCAGTATTAAGAGTGTAGTTGCAGAAAGCTCAGGAGTGAAACAAAGTGGCGTGAAAACAATAAATGTTCCAAAATCAGGAGTTAAAAGCTCTCAACCTGCAGGTGATTCTGGAATAAAAAGAGGCTTGTCGTCTCAACATCAACAATTTCTTCATCCATCTTCCATTAGTTCAAGTACTGCAAAGAAAACTGGGGGCTCTAGTTCTGGCGCTGTACTCTTTAGCTTGGGTGATGTGAGAAAAGAAATCCCAAAAGTAAACCCAGGACAACAGCGTGAAAGCCTCAACATTCAAGCTCAGACTTTCAAAAATCCAAGCGGAGGTTCAACAGCTAATCCTCAAAGTGAACTCGTAGGTGGAAACAGAAATATTATTCTGGATGAAGATATAATTAAGAAATTGGGATTAACTTCAGATGATTCAGGACACTACATTGTTTTGCCTCCTGGATTAGCAAATATTGCTGGTAGCGGACTGGAGGATAAAATAAGAATCGCTGGGCATGGATTAAATCAAGGCATACAATTGCACAGTAGTAGCGAAAAGCTAATACAAAAGAATGCAGGAGGAAGTGGAAGCATTTCTAGAGCTTCTCCAGAAATAAAACCAGTACTGAGATCACAGACTGCAATTTCACGCCAAACTACGAGAGACCAGATTCGAAAATTACCCACAGTACGAAGACAATCTAGTTTGCAAGCAACTGGAGGTTTGACTTCAGGCACAGCCCCTAGAAATATAGGGCAAATACCTAGACAAAGAAGTTCAAATCAGATTGGCGCTCAAGGAGCAGGTATTCGTCTTCTGACTTCAGGCGGCAAATATGATTCACCAGTGGTTCCCGTTTTACCGAAGGATAAACTAGTTTCACCAGTTGCAGGTTTACCAGGATCTATTAGGCCCAAGGCTCCATTTGATAGAGTTTTAAATCAAGTAAGCAGTTCTGCAGCTTCCTCGGGAAGCCTACAGACGGCTAGAACTCTTTCAACAACGTTAAGAGGCCCAAATTTGCAAAAACAAATTTCAGCAGGAAGAACAGCAATCACTGCAAGCCGCTTAACAGGCATTGAAAGTGGATCGGCTGATTCTAAATCGGGTGGTATTTATTTTGTTCTAGGTGACAATTTGCAACAGCAGAAACCACCAGCAGCAGGTCTAACGTCATCAGGTATAACACAGTCTGCAGCAAAACCACAGATAATATCCGGCATTCAGAGGCCAGAAATAGTGTTTTCAGCAGGAGTACCTGAGACATTTCAACCACAGATATCCCCGGCAGTCAGTCAGAGATTGACAGGAATACGTACCTCTCAATTTCAGGTAAGCCAAAGAGTTTCGGGATCACCCGCTTCAAATTCACCGTTAAGTTATCAACAAGCTGTTAGAAGTTCATCGACGTTAGGTAGAAGAACATCTGTACGAACTATATCTAGATCACCTGGACAAACATTATCCGTCATAGGGGGTCCAGAAATTGTGTCTACAGGAGGCGGATCTGCAGAAAGTCGAAGTGAAAAGCAGTTTGGGGTAAGACAAAGTTTTACTGGAGCACGTCGTTCTCAGATTTCGTTGAGTCAGGTATCTCCCGGTGTTATTCCTCAACAAATAACATCATACAAACAAGAAACTAGAAGTTCTGTAGGCTTAGACAACAGAGTGTTTAAGTCTCCTCAAGGGATTTCTAGTCAGTCAGTATCGGGTGTCGGTGGTTCTCAACTTTTGTTCAGGCCAGCAGTATCAGGCGCAAGTCTTTCCCAAGGCAAACCTGGTGTGAGCCAAAAGAGCAACAGGCATACACGGTTCTGAATTATTATTGGGGCAGATAATACCTGGTGCTCCTATAAGTCAAGTTTTAGCCTCAAACCAACAAGCAGCTAGAAGTTCAGCGTCTTTGGGTCAAACAAGATCAGACGTAACTATTGGAAAGAGGCTTGATGTAGCAGATAAAGCAAGATCAGGTGATTCAGGACAGCAAATTGTTTTCACAACGGGAGCACTTAAGCCCTCTCAACCTCAGTCACAGTCTGCATATGACCGCAGAATATCTAAAATTCGTAGTTCGCAAATTCCAGCAACACAGAGATTAGCTGGAATTCCTGCGCCTCGCTTAACAGTAGCATCTGGAGCAAGCCAAGCCCAAGGTGCACTTGGACTGACCCAGAAAGCAGCAGATATACGCGTGTCTCAGCTGTCACCAGAAAAAAGAAAACCTGCAGCACCAGCTTCAAAACCGTTATCTATCCCTACACAAGACTTTAGATCATCAGCGTCTTTAGGTTTAACAGCATCAGGTATAACTCAGCTTGCAGGAAAAGAACAGATAATATCAGGCATTGAGAGACCAGAGATATTGTTCGCAGCAGGAGTACCTGAGTCAATTAAGGCTCAGATATCACCGGCAGTCAGCCAGAGATTGACGGGATTACGTGCGTCTCAATTGCAAGCAAGCCAAAGAGTTTCTGCACCCGCTTTAAGCTCACCATATACTTATCAGCAAGGTGTTAGAAGTTCAGCAACGTTAGGCAGAAGAACATCTGTAGGAACTATATCTAGATCACCTGGACAAATATTATCCGTCATAGGGGGTCCACAAATTGTGCCTACAGTATACGGACCTCCAGGAAGTCGAAGTGAAAAGCAATTTGGGGTAAGGCAAAGTTTCTCTGGAGCACGTCGTTCTCAGATTTCGTCTAGTCAGAGATCTCCCAGTATTGCTACGCAACAAATCACAAGATACCAACAAGAAACTAGAAGTTACGCAGGCTTAGGCATCAGAGGGTTAAAGTTCCCTGAAGGGATTTCTAGTCAGTCAGTATCAGGTGTCGGTGGTTCTCAACTTTTGTTCAGGCCAGCAGTATCAGGCGCAAGTCTTTCCCAAGGCAAACCTGGTGTGAGCCAAAGAGCAACAGGCATACACGGTTCTGAATTATTATTGGGGCAGATAATACCTGGTGCTCCTATAAGTCAAGTTTTAGCCTCAAACCAACAAGCAGCTAGTTTCAGCGCTTGGGTCAACAAGATCAGATGTAACTATTGGAAAGAGGCTTGACGTAGCGGATAAAGCAAGATTAGTGATCAGGACAGCAAATTGTTTTCACAACGGGAGCACTTAAGCCCGCTCAACCTCAGTCACAGTCTGCATATGACCGCAGAATATCTAAAATTCGTAGTTCGCAAATTCCAGCAACACAGAGATTAGCTGGAATTCCTGCGCCTCGCTTAACAGTAGCATCTGGAGCAAGCCAAGCCCAAGGTGCACTTGGACTGACCCAGAAAGCAGCAGATATACGCGTGTCTCAGCTGTCACCAGAAAAAAGAAAACCTGCAGCACCAGCTTCAAAATCGTTATCTATCCCTACACAAGCCGTTAGATCATCAGGGTCTTTAGGTTTAACAACATCAGGTATAACTGAGCTTGCAGGAAAAGAACGGATAATATCAGGCATTGAGAGACCAGAGATATTGTTTTCGTTAGGAAAACCGGAGGCAATTCAACGTCAAATATCTCCTGCAGTCAGCCAGGGATTGGCTGGAATACGTACCTCTGAACTTCAAACAAACAAAAGATTATCTGTAGCATCTGTTTCACGTTCACCATTACCTTACCAGCAAACTGTAAGAAGTTCATCAGCGTCTTTCATTGGAGGTCTACAAACGGCATCTGTGCCAGGTGTATCCCCAGGAAGACGAAGTGAGAAAGAATTTGGAGTGAGAGAGAGTTTCTCTGGCGCACGTCCTTCTCAGATTTCCTCAAGTCAAAGAATTTCTGGTGTTAGTGCACCAAAAATCAGAACATCCCAACAAGCAACTAGAAGTTTCGTGGCCTCAGAGCGTAAGGCTTTTAGTTCATCTGCAGGAACTTCAGCTGGAATATCTGGTATCGGAGCTTCTGAAATTTTATTGACATCAGGAGTATCTGATGCAGGCCACGGCATATCTGGAATAAGGTCAAAAGTAACAAATATACCCAGATCTCAGTTATCAAGAAGCCAAATAACACCTGGTGCCCCCATTTTCCCCTCCTCAGGTATTGCTCAAGAAGCAGATAGACATTTGTCTTCTGGTCGAATAGCACCAGACGTAGTTATTGGAAGTCTGTCTGAAGGGAAAGACTCGGCAGTACCTGTCATTGACAGCTCCCAAATTGTGTTTGGAGGAATTAGGCCTGAAGGAACACAGCGCCAAACAGTAGCTCAATTAACGCACAGAGGAACTGGAGTAAGCAGTTCTCAATTTTCAAGAAGTCAGGGAATATCTGGAAGTGGTGCTTCGTCATCCGCTTCTCAACAAGCAGTTAGAAGTTCAACATCTTCAGGTAGAAGAACATATGGTATAGCTGAAGGAATTTCATCTGGAATATTTTCTCAACCAGGATCTGGGATTGAAGGGCCTCAAATTAGTTTCATAACTGGAGTAGCTGAGAGAGATGATGATAAGAATTTACTTGGCGGAAGAGTAGGATCATCAGGTAGTGCCGCTTCCCAGCTGTTGAGGAACCAACGTTTACCTGGATCTATTGCTTCGCAAAGCTTAACTTCTAATCAGCAAGCAACTAGAAGTGCAGCAACTTTTAATAGGAGAGTTTCTGGTTCCATTCCAGTGGCTGTTTCTGGAACACGTGGTCAGACGGTATCTGGTATAGAAGCTGCTCAGCATTCAGTACTTCTTCGAGGAGGGCCTGGTGAAATCCAAATCCAACCCAGAGGAATTCAGCAAAGTATACGCTCTCAAATATCTGGTCAAAGAAGACCTGGAGGTTCTGTCCTACCATTAAAATATCAACAACCAGCTAGAATACCGGCAGTTCGAATATCTGGTGCCCCTCAAAAGGATCAGTCGGTGATAAGAGCTGGTGGCTCTCAGATTTTGTTTACTAGTGGAAAACCTGCATCAGTACAAACCCAAAGAACAGTAAGTGGAAGAGCATCAAGTTCGACGAGTTCTCAACTTTCGTCGATTCAAAGAATATCTGGCATCCCTATTTCCAGAAATGATCCGAATTATCAACGTGGGGCTGGTAGTTCGGAAGCATTGAAAAGAAGAATACCTAATTTAATATTAGACGCTTCATCTGGAGGAATAGATGGCATAATAGCTGATGTGAGAAGATCTCAACTTTCTTCTTTAACAGCTTCTAGTATCGGTCCATCTTCGGGGGCACTAGGAGTTAGTCAGAGAAACTCAGGAGGACGTAACTCTCAAGCAGCAAATGATGTCAGACTTTCTGATGCTCCGAAGCCATCACTCTTATCTATCAGCGGAACGGCTGATCTTAGAAGTGCAAGTCAAAGAGCAGGTATACCTACAACGAGCTTGAGAAATATTGGAATACAGGGAGCATCAGGTACTGGTAGAGTTGCAACAGCTTCTCGTTTAACAAATGTAGAACTTTTAAAAATACCTTCGACAACAGAATCGAGATCACCTCAGATATCTCATTCAGGTGCTGGAAACATAGGATTAGCTCAAGCAGAAAGGCGCAATTTAAACAAAATTGCTCCCGAAGTTGGTTTTTATGGAAGCTCAGCTCAGTCAATCTCAGGTTCATCAAGAATAGTCTCACAAGCATCTAGCCTGAGGAAACCTGAAACGGGCAAATTGAATTTACAAAGTAAAATAGAATCACCAGTACTGCAGGAAAAACTCCATACTAAAGATATCATACAAAAGGAAGCACTCCAAGTAAAAGAACCGAGTATTAAATTCAATCAGGTAGAGCAATCAAAATTGTCCACAAATCCGAGCCAAGTTTTAGTGGATGTACCTACTAGTCAAGAAAAATTAAGTGATGGATCTCAGATAAAGATTGATGAAGTGATTGAAAATAGCGCTCCATCCCAGCCCCAAATCATTAAATTAACTCAAGTAAAAGAAACAATAATTGGGAAAAAACACTCGGCTGAAGTTCATCAAGCTGAAGCCCCAAGCAAACCAGTTGTTTCCAAAACGACAGTTACCAAAATTGTATCTGAAAGCGCACCGAAACCTGCGGGAGTAGCTTTTGGAAGTCGGGATGTTCAGAGTGTGCAACAGAAACTTACAGATTTAGATCAGTCTCAATACTTGCCTCCAGCATCTATACTGTCTCCTTTCAATTATGCAGTTCCCATTCTCCCTTCTGCAAAAACAGGTGTGAAAACTCCAATAGTACAAGAACAGCAGAAATTGGAACAAATACTAGTGTAGAAAACAAAGAAATATTACAACACTATAGCGGATCATATAATTTGAGAAATTAATTTTAAATAGTTGCAAATTTATTTATCTGAGGTTATTCATAGCCATACTGATTCCAGTTTTTAATTTGTTTTATGTTCAAATAAAAGTTTGAAAATATAAACAATATCTTGCTTGAAAAATATTATAATAAAAAATACAGAAAAATATAAGTATCATTGTATTATGTAAGCAAGAATTTACTTATAGAAATATGTTAAGATGCATCTTGTAATAAAAAGTGAATTTGTTTTTAAAATCCATGTCTGAGTCTAATATTTCTTCACATCTGAAAATGTTTGGTGTTTTGTTACATTTTTTTTTTCTTTTCATATGTTTTTAAAAATGTTTAACTTAAGATGTAATTTAGTAATCGGATCATATCTTATTTTCCCCTCCGAAGTAACACATAAATTCCAAAGTAACTTATTCCAAATAAATTGATTTAGCCAAAATGGAACGAGTAGTAATAAGCCATAAACAATACAATTTTAGCAATCGCTAGAAGTTTTAGATTGGTCATCTGTTTCTGTATACAGAAACTGATGATGCGCTGTCCTTAATTCGGCGCTTTGAATGCAAAGAAACTCGCTTATTTTATAAGCACATGTCAAATAAAGGCATTCCAAACTCATGATGATAATACGAATCCAATTATGCAGGAATGCAAATCAAAGATCTAATAGAAATGAAAATACATTTTAGGCCAATACATTTCTTAGATTCGACAC